AACAGGGAGATAGAATAATAAGTACAAGCCTCACTTCAATATTTGGTTCCACAATATCAACCTCAACTTTGGAATCAATACTCAATTATCACCAGAGGATTCGTAAACATGATAAGAACGATCAATTTAACAATACTAGTCTGAATATGGATAATATGAACAAAGGAAGCTATAATTGTAAGAAATCAAACCCCGCATGTATGTTTTAATCCGACTACAATGCATACGTACTCGTTACCTCACATATACGTTGTTCCCCAATATTTAAACATGTAGAAAATAGACAAACACGTACTATTCCCTCAAGTCAAGGTTAACCACGACACTTAACTCGCTCCGAAGAACAAACTCAAAGCTCAATCATGGCTTTTCCTTTCAAACAATCCTCCGAAGCAATAGAATCTAGCAATTTACCAACCAAATGATTTAAATTAAGTCTTAGGAACTACCCATGATTGCAAAGAATTCAATTTAGGCTATTATTGAAAAAGTCAACACCCAGGCCCGCTTGGTCAAAACCCGAGGTTCGTACCAAAATCCATTTACCCATTCACCCCCGAGCCCGATTATGTAACTAGTTTCAGAATCTGGCCCCAAATTGAGGTCTAAATCCCCAATTTGCAAAACCCCCCAATTCTTCCTAAATCCCTAGTTTTCTACCATGAAAGAACAAAGATTAGGGCTTGGAATTTAACGGGTGATGTTAGAAATGGAAGGAAATAAGTTAAAGAGTACAAACCTATGAATTGATGTTGATACCGCATTCGCGATTAAGAAAGTCACCCTGCCTCAGTTTACTCTTCGCGTTCGCGAGAGTACCTTTGGGAACGCGATGAAGAAGACACCAGATAACAACTCAATCACCAAAAACCAGATTTTCTAAGTTTCAAAACAATTGAAGTCTATCTGAAACATGCCCGGGCCCTCGGGGCTCCAAACCAATTATGCACACAAGTCCAAACATATCATACGAACTCGCTCGCATGATCAAAATACCAAAATAATGCCTATAACTACGAATCGGACACCGAATCAAAGGAAATTTTCAAGAAGGGTTTAAAACTTCTATTTTCACAACCGAACGTCTAAATCACATCAAATCAACTCCGTTTCTCACCAAATTCGACAGACAAGTCATAATTATTATAGTGGACATGTACCGTGCTCCGGAACTAAAATACGGACCCGGTATCAACAAAACCAAACCTCGGTTAATTCTTAAAAACCATTAAACTTCCAGATTTTCAATTTTCAACAAAAATTTCATAACTTGAGCTAGGGACATCCGAATTCGATTCCGGGTATACGCCCAGGTCCCATATTTTGATGCGGACCCACCGGGACTGTCAAAATACGTATCTGGGTCCGTTTACTCAAAATCTTGATCGAAGTCAACTCAAATTAATTTTTAAGGCAAAAATTCTTATTTTTATCAATTTTAACATATAAGCCTTTCGGAAAAACACACGGATTGGGCACACAAATCGAGAAAGGCTAAAAATGAGGTTTTTGAGACCTCGAAACACAGACTTTGGTTCTAAAATATAAGATGACCTATCGGGTCATCACATTCTCCACTGTTCGTCCTTGAACGGACTTAGAAAAGTACCAGAGCTGGTGAAATAATGTGGATATCTACGCATATCTGGCTCGGACTACCAAGTAGCTGCCGCAACGGCCAAACCTCTCCACTGCACTCGAACTGAAGGATAACTCTTAGACCTTAGCTTTCGAACCTGTCGGGCTAGAATAGCCACCGGCTCCTCCTCGTAAGTCAAATCCTTGTCCAACTGGACAGAGCTGAAATCTAACATATGGGATAGATAGCCGTGATACTTTTGGAGCATGGACACGTGGAACATCGGATGAACTGCTGATAATCCCAGTGGTAACGCAAGCCTATAAGCCACCTCTCCCACTCTCTCCAGAATCTCAAAAGGTTTGATATACCTAAGGCTCAACTTGCCCTTCTTTCTGAACCTCATTACACCCTTCATGGGGGGATACCCGGAGCAACACTCTCTCCCCGACCATGAATGCAACATCACAAACTTTGCGGTCGGCATAACTCTTCTGCCTGGACTGAGCTGTGCGAAGTCGATCCTGAATAATCTTGACCTTATCCAAGGAATCCTGTACTAGATCTATACCCAACAACCAAGCCTTCCTTGGTTCGAACCACCCAACTGGTGAGCGGCACCGCCTATTGTATAATGCCTCATCGGGAGCCATTTGAATGTTTGACATGTAGCTTTTGTTGTAGGCGAACTCTGCAAGGGGCAAGAACTGATCCCACAATCCTCCGAAGTCTATAACACATACGCGGAGCATATCCTCCAAGATCTGAATAGTACGCTCGGGACTGTCCGTCCGTATGAGGATGAAACACTATGACCAACTCAACCCTTGTGCCCAATTCATGTTGTACTTCCTTCCAGAAGTGCGAGGTGAACTGCGTACCTCAATCAGAAATGATAGACACGGGCACACTGTGAAGACGGATGATCTCGCGGATGTAAATCTCTGCCAACCTCTCTGAAGAATAGGTAACTGCCACAGGAATGAAATGCGCTGACTTAGTTAGCCTGTCCACAATGATCCAAACTGCATCGAACTCCCTCTGAGTCTGTGGGAGTCCAACAACGAAATCTATAGTGATACACTCCCACTTCCACTCAGGAATCTCTATCTTCTGAAGCAAACCACCAAGTCTCTGATGCTCACACTTTACTTGCTCACAATTTAGACACTGAGCTACATATGTAACTATATCCTTCTTCATCCTCCTCCACCAATAATGTTGTTGCAAGTACTGATACATCTTGGCGGTGCCCGGGTGAATAGAATACCGGGAACTGTGGGCCTCCTCAAGAATAAACTCAGGAAGTCCATCCACATTAGGCACATAAACACGACCTTGCATCCTCAAAACTCCGTCATCTCTAACAGTAACCTACTTGGCACCATGATGTGCCGTAGAATTTCGGCACATTTGATACCAATTACATAGACTTTAGCTCATCTTCCAATGCATTTTTAGTTAATTCTTATGAAGTTTTGGTATTTTGCAGTGCATGAGGCTTGAGGACCCAAAAATATGAAAAAGAAGTCAAAAAGCCACAAAAGGGCAGAAATAATGCAAGTATGCGGTCGCATAAAGCATATGCGGACCGCATACCCATCGCAGACTGAAGCAGATTGTTGGTTAATTGAAAAGAAAAAAATGCGACCCATTATGTGGTCGCATAACAATTATGCGGACCGCATAGCGATCGCACAGCTGAAATCAAGAAAGATGAGAAGCACTTGTGCGGAGGAATATGCTGTCGCATAATGTATATGCGGACGGCATAATTGAAATGCGGTCAAGAGCTAGGTTGGATACATGAGATTATGCGATAATTTCAAATAATATGCAGACCGCATACATGATCTGCGACCAGTATGCGGTCGCATAAACTATCTGCAGGGTTTGTTTTGTCCAATTTTGGCTCCGACTTTTAGCCCACTATAAATAGACTTATTAGGGTTTTTGTGGGGCAGCGATGTCAGAAAAAGAGATTACTTTTAGAGCATTGAACGCACCATTATTTTGGAGACTTTTGAAGAAAGAATCTTGTATCTTTGTAAACTTTATGACTCTATTTATCGTTTTGTTCTTAGATTTCAGTATGAGTAGCTAGTTTNTATTTATTCAGTTCTTATGCTTCATGTGATGTTAGTGGTTGCAAACATTAACTAATTCCATTTCGCTCTATCTTCACTTGGTAAAGTGGGCTAGGGTTTGGTAGAATTGAATATCAAAAACTCAAGGCTTTAACCCCTGTTTAATGGAATCGCCTAGGAATAAGTGGGTTCTATTTGGCATAAATTGGTTATTTTCAATCGCAACTCTTTTACATTTGGGAAAATCTTAAAGAGTAGATATTACCCAACTATTGGGAAATAGTGGGTAGTCACTTAGAAACCATTTGCATATCAAAGGACTTTCTATTAGAAATATATCATATTAATACCGATAACATTACATTCCATCAATGGGGACACAACCATGGTTTCCTTAATCAAATTAATTACAACCTCACAATATTCTACTTGTCTTCATTTCACTAAATTGAAACATTCTTTTTAGCTAATGGAATAGAATTACAAATTAAGTCAAGTTTCACACTACTCAAGTAAACGTTTCACACCTATTCCCTATGGGATTCGACCCCAATCTAGTTGGCTAATTATATTTGACATCGACTGCTTTACACTAATTATTAAGGTGTAATTTGAGCGTATCAAATTTTGGCGCCGTTGCTGGAGAATACGGTTTTGAAATTTATATTTGGTGTGTGCTTTACTTCACGTTTTTATTCCATCACACTTTGCTTGGTGTGCTAGATAAACATGGTGGAGTATGACAAAGAAGAAAATCCTTTTGCAGATATAGATGAGTACATCGAGGACACAAATGCCATTATCCCTCCACGAGTTGAGGCTGCTACCTTCAAGGTGGAACATGGTTTGATACTAATGCTTAAAGCAAAGGTTTTTTTTTAGGAATTCTACCGATGATGATCCAACATAACATCTTAGAAACTTCTTGGGTGTGTGTGCGATGCACAAGCAGAACAGCGTGTCAGATGATGCCCTAAGACTGAGGGTATTCAAGTACTCACTAGTTGGAGAGGCAAGGAAATGGATCCAAAATCTACCATCTCACTCCATTCACTCTTGGCCTGAACTAGTTCGTGCTATCCTAGCCAAATGGTTCCCACAAAGCAAGAAATCCGAGCTCTGGGAAGCAACTACCGGGAGAACACCTACATGAGGCATGGGATCTGTTCAAGCTATACCTAGTGAGGTTGCCTAATCATGGTTTTATAGACAAAATCTTGTTAGAAAAGTTTTACATAGGTTTGGATCCGTTGAACCAATCCATAGCAAAGAATGCGACGGATAGATCTTTTATGGACAAAACATTCACAAGGATCACACAAATTCTCGACAAGATGGCAGAACACAATCAAGCTTTGCACTCGGAAGATACCACGGGTGGAATTGCATATGGTAATCCCTCTTTGACCAACATGATTAAGGAGAACCAAGAGAGAGATCAAGTAATTGCCGGTCTTGCCACAAACATTAATGTGTTAACCAAGATGTTCACTGAAAACCAAACTAAAAAGGTAAATGTTGTGAAAGATGTGCAACCCTTGTCAAACGAAGATTGCGAGGAGGCAAACTATGTCCATAATTCTCAAGGTAGTTATCGCCAGCAAAATCAATGGAGGCCTAACCTGCAAAGGCAAGGCCATCAGCAGTGGCGCAATGATCAAGGTGGATCAAGTCAAGGTAATTGGAGCAACAACAACAACTATGCAAACCGGAGTTCAAACCCATATGTTCCACCAAATGGGCAATACTCTAACTCATCGCATTATAAGGAAGGTTCTTCAAGTGAGTCCAAGTTGGAGAGCATGCTTGAAAGAATATTGCGAAATCAAGAAAGAGGCGACACTACAATGAAAAACATGGCCGAACTTGTGGGGTCACACACCGCATCCATACAAAAGCTAGAAATACAAATGAGAGATTTTTCAAGAGAGCATAATCCAAAACCGAAGGGCACACTCCCAAGTGACACAATTGCAAACCCTAAAGAAAATGGGAGTGGTCCAAATTCTCATTGCATGGCAATCACCACGCGAAGCGGGAAGGTACTTCAAGGAGAAAACGAACAAATAATTGGAGTAGGTGATCTTGAGCAAGAGGTTAAAGCACAAGTTGAAGTGCCGATTGTTATTGAAGTTGAAAATCTCTCAAAAGGAGTAAAAGTCCAAGAAGAAAATCATGAAAAGGTAAAGGTGAAAGAGGCACCAAAAGCTCTAGCACAAATTCCTAGACCTTCCCCTTCGTTCCCTCAAAGACTTGCTAGGAGGGTTGATGATAGCAAATTCGAGAAATTTTATGACATTCTCAAGCAATTGTCGGTGAACATACCATTTGTGGAAGCCTTTCAAGAGATGCCGGATTTTGCTAAATACTTAAAGGACTTGATAACCAAGAAAAGGACCACCAAGAATGAAGTGGTGAATGTTACTCATCGGGTTAGCTCCATTATTGCAACAACCACCGTTGAAAATAAAGAAGACCCGGGAGCATTCACCATTCCATGCACTATTGGCTTGTGAGATTTTGCAAGGGCTCTTTGTGACAGTGAGGCTAGCATTAACTTGATGCCTCTTACTATTTACAAGCAAGAGGGGTTAAGCATGCGGAGACCTACAAGCATGAGATTGCAAATGGCCGATCATTCAATGAAAAGACCAGTGGAAATTATTGATGATGTCCTAGTGAAAGTTGGAAAGTTCTTCCTTCTAGCTAATTTTGTGATCCTGGACTGTGCCGTTGACAAAGAAATCCCTATCATTTTGGGGAGGTCATTCCTTACTACCGGAAAAGCACTTGTGGATTCGGAACGAAATGAAATCAAGTTCTGAGTTAATGATGAAGAGGTCATCTTCCAATATAGTAAGGGTATGAAGTTGCCACATGTATATGAAGGATTCTCAGTCATTGATGTTATTGATGAGGTAGAGGACGCAAGTGAAATGAAGATGGAAGAAGAATGCCTAGGTGAGGCTCTGGCAGCGATATTGGTAAATTTCGATGGTGAAAACATGGAGGGGTACATGGAATCGATGAATGCATTAGAAGGACGTGGGTCTTACACTTACGCACCAAATTAGCTTTCTCTTGACTTAGAGAATAGAGCCACTCCCCCAGCAAAGCCTTCAATTATTGAGCCGCCACAACTTGAACTCAAGCCACTTCCACCACACTTAAGGTATAAATTTCTTGGCTCTAATGATACTTTACCGATAATAATTTCTTCCTTGTTGAATGATGTTTAGGTAGATAATTTATTGAATGTCCTAAGGGAGCATCAACAAGCCATTAGGTGAAAAATAGCGGACATCCGAGGGATTCCTGTCGGAATCTGTGAGTACAAAATACAATTGGAGCAAGGAAGCAAACCTAGTGTGGATCACCAAAGAAGTGTAAACCCATCCATGCAGGAGGTGGTGAAGAAGGAAATCATCAACTGGTAAGACGTCGGGGTAGTCTACCCCATTACCGATAGTTCTTGGGTGAGCCCGGTGTAATGTGTGCCAAAGAAAGGAGCATGACTGTTATCCAAAATGAGAAAAATGAGCTCATCCCAACAAGGACTATGACCGGATGGAGAGTTTGCATGGACTACTGGAAGCTCAACAGTGCCACTTGCAAAGACCATTTCCCTATGGCTTTTATTGATCAAATGCTTGATCGGCTAGCGGGAAGGTCATTTTATTGCTTTTTGGATGGATACCTTGGCTATAACCAAATCAACATTGCATTGGAAGATCAGGAGAGGACAACATTCACATGCCCATATGGGACTTTTGCTTTTATCCGGATGCCATTTGGGCTATGCACTGCTCTGGCTACCTTTCAACGGTGCATGATGTCAATTTTCTCGGACATAGTAGAAGATTTCTTAGAAGTGTTTATGGATGACTTCTCTGTAGTGGGTGATTCCTTTGAGCATTGTCTCGACAACCTTAGACAGGTGAAGAAACAAACCTTGTACTAAATTGGGAAAAATGCCACTTCATGGTGGATGAGGGCATTATTTTGGGCCACAAAATTTCCAAACAAGGCATAGAGGTTGACCGCGCAAAGATTGAAATCATTTCTAAGCTGCCTCCACCCATTTCAGTAAAGGGTGTCCGAAGTTTTTTGGGGCACGCCGGTTTCTATAAGCGTTTTATCAAGGACGTCTCAAAAATTGCAAAGCCCATGTGCAACCTCCTTGAAAAAGATGCTACGTTCGTATTTGATGAAAAGTGTCTCAAAGCATTTGAAGAGTTGAAATAAAAGCTCACCACATCACCTATTATTGTCACACCGGATTGGTCTCTTCCATTTGAACTCATGTGTGATGCCAGTGGTGTAGCCATTGGGGCGGTGCTTGGTCAATGGCATAACAAAATCCTTCATCCTGTCTACTATGCAAGCAAGACTCTAAATGGTGCTCAAATGAATTATACTGTGTCCGAGCAAGAATTTCTTGCCATTGTCTATGCTTTTGAAAAATTTTGGGGCTATTTGTTAGGATCTAAGGTGATAGTCTACACTGATCATGCTGCTCTTCGCTATCTTATGCCGAAGAAGAATGCCAAGCCAAGATTGATTCGGTGGGTCCTTTTGTTGCAAGAGTTTGACTTTGAAGTCAAGGATTGAAGAGGGACAGAAAACCAAGTTGCGGATCACTTATCTAGGCTTGAAGAAGCAAGGAGGCCAAAAGAGAACTTTGACATCAATGATGCTTTTCCAGATAAGCAAATATTGGCATTGTCTAACACATTTGCTCCTTGGTATGTTGATATTGCTAATTATCTGGTTAACGACCTTGTCCCCGATGGATTAGAAACATATCAAAGAAAAAGTTCTTGCGGGAGTGTAGGTAATACTATTGGGAGGAGCCCTTCTTGTTTCATATTTATGCCGACAACATCATTCGGCGATGTGTTCCGGAAGATGAAGTAATACCAATTCTCAAAGCATGCCATGACTCCCCGGTTGGGGGTTATCATAGAGGAAATCGGACGGCCGCGAAAGTGCTTGATTGTGGCTATTATTGGCTATATATCTACCATGACGCGAATCAAATGGTCAAGGCTTGTGAGCAATGTCAAAGGCAAGGATCAATCTCTAAAAGGCATGAGATGCCTTTGAAGTTTGTAATGGAGGTCGAGATCTTTGATGTGTGGGGGATTGATTTCATAGGTCCCTTTGTGAGTTCTTATGGCATGAAATATATCTTGGTGGGAGTGGACTATGTCTACAAGTGGGTTGAGGCAATCGTCTTGCCCAACAATGAGGCAAGGAGTGTGACCGCATTCTTAAGGAAGAACATTTTCACGCGGTTTGGTACCCCCGAGCCATCCTTAGTGATGGTGGTTCTCATTTTTGCAACAAGGCTTTCACCAGGCTGCTCGAAAAGTATGGCGTAAAGCACAAGGTGGCCACACCTTATCATCCTCAGTCGAGTGGTCAAGTTGAAGTTTCCAATAGGGAGATTAAAAACATCCTAGCAAAACCTGTCAATACAAATAGGACCGACTGGTCAAGGAAGCTAGAGGATGTATTGTGGGCATATCGCACCGCATTTAAGACCCCCATTGGCACCTCACCGTACCGGTTAGTCTTTGGTAAGGCTTGTCATTTGCCCGTGGAACTTGAACACAAAGCCATATGGGCTCTGAAAAGGTTAAATCTTGGCTAGGCAGAAGCTGCTAATCTGAGAATGACACAACTCAACGAAATGGAAGAATTCTGTCTCCATGCCTATGAGAGTGCAGCCATGTATAAGGAACGAATGAAGTTTGTTCATGACAAGAAGATCTTGAAACGGGAATTCAAATCTGGTGACTTGGTATTGCTCTCCAACTCGAGACTCAAGTTATTTCCGGGCAAACTCAAATCCAAATGGTCTGGCCCATTCAAAATTGTGAATGTGTCCCCTTACGATGCTATTTAATTAGAGCCAAAAGACAGACTTCGCACTTTCAAAGTAAATGGACAATGGGTTAAGAATTACCTGGGCACAACAGGAGACAAACACTTAGTAGAGCAAATTGCTCTCAAGGATAGTCCAACCCCCACCACTGAGTAGCCCAAAAGGGGACCAATATCGTCGTGCCGCGACGTTCAATCAAGCGCTTCTTGAGAGGCAACCCATGCATGGTAAAATTATTATTATTATTATTTTTAGTTGTCAGTGATTGAACAGGATGACGTGTGTATTAGAGTACAGGTAGCCCAATTTACCATGAAACATAGTGCAAAGACTAAAGCAAAAAGTGGTGGATCAGGGGCTTTCGGCAACTATGCGGTTGCATAATGACTTTGTGAATCGCATAGTTGTCGCAAACACAGTCAAAGAATTTGTGGAACTTGGGTCTGAAAATTGCGGTAAGAGTTCAAGTTCTATGGTCTGCATAGCAGTTATGCGACCGCAGAATGCATCGCAAAATGGAGGTAAAATAACTCAGCTCTAAAATCATCGCATAACACATATGCGACCGCATAATGTGTTATGCGACCACTTGCCTACCGCAAAACGTCCAGGTATAAATCCCCAACCCTTCGCATACTGTCAACCCCACTCGCACACGAACACTTAACAACTCTCACAAAATCAAAAACACAAAAACAAAAGAAACAAAAGAAAAGCGAAAAACATTTTAATCACGCACACAGATCATATATCAAGGATCAGAATTAAGGAATTTACCTTGCTCATAACTCAGATTTCACCTTCGTCTTGCTCCGATATCTGGTATGTTACTCTTTCACTTTTGTTTTCATTTTTATTTATTTATCTTCTTTTTCTTGTGGATTCATTGCATAATGTCCATCATTTGAACTCCATATCTCGTTTTTGTTCTCAAACATGTGCGGTGGGTACCTTTGTGGGCGATTGGTGGTTAAATATTTGCCTGCGAGTGTAGGCAATTGTGTAGGTGGGAGGCTTGACCATTGTTGACCGAAGAAGATGATCTTTGCAACCCGCATAATTGGGTTGCGATCCGCAAAGTCGTCACAAACAAGACCCTAGAAGGCCTAGTGATTTGAACTTATGCGACCGCTTATGCGGTCGCAAAGGTGTTTTGCGGACCGCATAGCTACCGCAAATACAATAAGTTAAACTACCTTTCGTGTGTGTAATTCTACGATCCCTTTGCGATCGCAAAACTGGTTTTGCGGTGGTTTTTGTGATCACATAATCCCTTAAGTCTGGGGTGTGAAATTCTGTGATAAGTTTGCGGTCCGCATAGTGGGTATGCGACCGCATAAATTGTTTATCTCTGTTATTTTTCCTCCACATACTTTTTATGCTATGATCACCACTCACACACTATTTTATTGCAGGAATGGCACAAAGGAAATCTATTACAACATGATCACCACCTGCTCATGGAAAGAAAAGAGCTGCTCCGAACCAACAAGCACAACAGTATAAGCGTCAATGGCCGGAAACCACCCGCAACACTACTGAGCACTCATCCCAGTCTGAAGAAGAGGGGGAACAGACGGACATCCTGCCATCAGTTGACCTACAAGCTGAAGCAAGGCGGAAGAG